TTTTTTGTTTGCAATTTAAAATGCTAATAAAATTTACTTTTTTTCTGGTACACAATATCTGAAAAAAAAAATTCATTTCATCGGCATTTGAGAATATTATCTGCCGCTGAGTTCAGTGTCAACAACTCTGTCAAAGAATATAAGTTAACAAACATGATGATCTATCTGCTTTCTGGGTCTCGGATTACCAGTTTGGTCATGTGCCACTTTCCAGTATTTTCCGCTTGTTTAAACTGATGATAAATTGATGACAATAAAGAAAATTTCAGAGGTAATGCTAAAGAACAACATCCTAGTTTGAATGTTGTCACTCTTTCCTGTGACTGTTCATAACTGTGTTATGTTTATTATGAAAAATTTTTCTTCTCCAGATTTGTACCATCACTGATTCCCATTTGTTGCAAACTTAATTCTCCCACAAATACCACAGCGTTCTTCTGATAAATTGAACCAAACAACAAATATAGCTAAAAACTGGCGGTTTAGCTGCATTCTTCAGCTGCTGCTTGGAGTTTCTACGCTACACAACAGTTTCTGCCTATGGAACTGCTAAACAGTGCCAATCGAGTAGTAACGTTAAACAAAAGTAAAAGATATTTTATTAACTTGACTTAGTAGTATCAGTAAAAAAAAAATAGTTTAATTGAAAACATTAACAAACGTGGAAAAAAATTGATACAAAAATAACAACAGACGAAAAAAAAATCAATACAAAGACGAATAAGTAGAATGAGTTTAATGCAGTAAACTTGTTAACTGTCTGCAAAAAAAAAGACAAACTGAGAAAAAATTATGAAGATGAATATATAGAATGAGGATTTGGAAACGGTTACAATTTTTGTTCATGTGAACAACGCATATTCTTCAGATGGGTAATGCATTGGTTCAATCGATGATCAAAACAAACATTCCCCTTTCTTCCCCTCCCACTCCCCGCTTATGAACATGCGTTGTTCATTCCCCCACCGTCCAAAATGCATGCTTTATGTGGTCCTTTCGAAATAGATCCCATACTTCACGAACGCTACACACATCTTTCACAACATGCGCCATTCGTATTATTGTTTATTCGACAACACTAAACCTGCGCTTAATCAACTAATTGATCTGAGCACTGAATTTGCTTTTCCAGAAGATTCTCTTATTCACCGGTGCTGTTTTATTGCATCATCTGTTAAGAAAAAAGAAAAAAAAAGAAAGGAAAGGAAAGAAATTTATTTTATCCGATATCTTCCCTCTTTATTTGTAATTTATGGCTGTTTTTCTGTTCCTTTTCCATTTCTCCTTCTTCTGCTTCTTCGCCTCCTCTTTTCCAATCTTACCATCATCACTGTCATCATCTTATCCTTCCTGACAACTTCCCTACGTCTTGTTCTCCTCCTCCATCTTTTGCCCTTTCCCATTCTTTTGATTTTTCATCTTAATCGTTTCCTTGGTAAAAATTCCGTTCTCCATTGTCAGTCTCAGAGAGAGCAGCAGTGACAACAGCGACCACAACAACAGCAATTCCCACTGAAAACACTTTGGAGTTGAAATTGTTTTCACAGTGTTTTTTATGGTTTGTCGTAAATCATCCTTCCGAAAAATTCGCTGAAAAGGAGCTATTTGACGGAAAAAAGTACGTTACTGCATTAATTATTCAGACTTTAACGGATGAAGTTTACTTCTGTTACAGCAGCTCAGATTACTCGTAAAGTAAAAAAAAAGCGGAAAAATGGTTAAACTAAAACGAAAGTATGGAAGCAGGCGTGAAAAAAAAACAGGCTGATTTTCATCACCCTCACTGATTTGGTTTCTCCGCCGATTTTTGCCGGACTAAAACTTTTGTGCTGTCGAATGTGTAAATCTTTGTTCAGACTGCTTACTGAGGGCGATTGAAAACGCTCGGTTGTTCATACAAACGCTTTTAAAACTTTATGCTTTATGTTAAAAACTTTTGTTTTTTTTCTTCTCCTAACCCTCACCACCATCCTGCATTTATTTGTGTTGCTTTTTTTTTACACTTTTATTTCTCATCTTATTCAGGAAATGGAAACTAATGAAGCAGAAAAAGAAGCAGAAGTTAGGGAGAGCGGTTGAATTACAGATCGGTGATGGCAAAAAAAAAAGCTTTGTTTATATTGGATGGCATTTTTGTTTTTCACATATTGTCGTATACATGTAAACTTTTTTTTGAAGAGTTAGAAAAGGCAAAACAATTTAGGCTTAGTTTTCAAGGGGCGATTTTTTTTCACTTTCTGTGCGTAGAAGGTTTAGAAAAAAGAGCTTAACGAATAATAATAGTTTAATTGTAAATGTTCTTTGGATACGAAATTATTAGCAAAAATTTTAACTACTTGTAGAGTAATTTGGTATACAAAGGAAAAAAATAACAAAAAAATTTGTTTTATCATTTATGGTACTTAAATACAAATAAAATCTGCAAGCGTTTTACGGAAAATGCGAACTGTGTAGGAACAAAGTTAAAGTAGTCATAAATAAGATGAAAGTTACTGAATTTACTGAAAGAAGCAAAGCGTTTACGTCGTTGCTTAACAGAAAAGAAAAAACTCCGTGTTTTTTGTTAATGCGCAGTCAGTTACATTCATTTCCCGTCTAGAAACGTTTTTTTGCAACTGCACAACCGGTAGTTGCAGATATCCTTCTCGATTTGTATTTTTACTAAAGCATAGATTTCCGGTGTTTTGTTTTCTTAGTTACAGAAATTGATATTTAGAATTACACAGTGGAATGAAGATTTGTTGGATATGGTGAAATCGAAACGAGCTAGGACGGATAAGAGAAAGAAGTGAATTGATTATGTATAATAATTGTTTAAAAAAATTGATTTTTAAAAAAATAAAATAAACGATGAAAGAACAGTGTGACAGATATCAGAAGTGGTTGTCGAACGAATCGATTCCCACTTCCTCATAATCCTTCTCTAGTGCAGCCAGGTCTTCTCGAGCTTCAGCAAACTCACCTTCTTCCATTCCTTCTCCAACATACCTAAGTACAATGACATTTAAAACAACTATTGTTAGGGCTTCTACCAGTACCAAAAAAAAGGAAACACATTTTTTAGAAAACCGATTTGATTTGTATCTTTAGTTGAGCAATTACTGCTTGTTAAGAGCTACCTAAAGTAACGATTTTTCTTAAGGAATTTGGAATAGGCTGATTAAGACGACAAAAAACGTAACAAATACAAAGCTTAAAGAAACTTACCAATGTACAAAAGCACGTTTAGCATACATCAAGTCGAATTTGTAATCAAGCCGACCCCAAGCCTCGGCAATTGACGTAGTATTTGCAAGCATACAGACAGATCGCTGTAACTTTGCTAGATCGCCCCCTGGCACCACTGTTGGTGGTTGATAATTGATGCCTACTTTAAATCCTGTCGGACACCTAGAACTTGTTATTCCTTGAGCATTGTCTTATAAATAACGAACTTTCAAGTACATTTTTTTAATCAGACGTTTTCTGAGAGGAAGAGCGCAAGGGAAAATCAAAGCAATTAGGGAGTTCTTTCAGATGCAAAAAACTAGTCAATGATAGATTGTCAAAAAAAAAAAATATTTGTGGTAGTAAGAAAAAACTGCTAACCAGTCAACAAATTGAATTGATCTTTTTGTTTTTATCATTGCGATTGCTGCATTTACATCCTTAAAGTAAACTTTTAAAATATATCCTGACAAATCAATAAAATGAAGCTTCTAACACCGGAAAGTATGAAGATTTTATTGGCAAAAAAAACCTACCTTTGGAACGACATCACCGCGATACAGCAGACAACAGGCCATAAATTTTCCCTGCCTTGGATCACATTTTACCATTTGATTACCTGGCTCAAAACATTGACTTGTGATTTCAGGAACAGAAAACTGCTCGTGATGCGCCCGGTCGCTAAAAGTTAATTAGGCTATTTTAAGATTAATTTATAAAATCAGAAACAAAATTAATTTGATGAAGATGATATCTGTCAACGAAATTGTTGACGAAATCTATTCTAGCCGATAGGCGTCACCTGGACACAATCGGCGAATAAGTTGCAAGTGGAAAATGAATTCTTGGATAAGGTACAAGATTGGTTTGAAATTCTGCAAGATCGACATTTAGTGCACCTTCAAAACGCAATGATACAGTTATCGACGAGACAATTTGAGCGATCAGACGATTTAGATTTGTATAAGTCGGTCTGAAAACAAAAAAACGCTATTGTTTCATAAAATTTCCTATTAGAAGTAATTTTCCTGCACATTTCCTTAGCTAATTTTTCATCATTTTTACTTCATATGTGAAACTTTTTTGCCGCGGAGGAAATTCACTTTGTAAAGCGATTACCGCGATATTCCTAAATTACGACGACATATTTCATAAATGGCTTCATTGTCAACCATAAATGAACAGTCTGAATGCTCCAACGTAGTATGTGTAGTCAGAATTGAGTTATACGGTTCTACTACAGCAGTGCTGATTCGCGGGGCTGTAAAAAATTATCGACTTTTATTTTATGGCGAACAATCCGATCAATGATGAAGGTTTCTTCCAGTGAATAAAAACAGCTGAATTGAGTAATTAACCAGGATAGATGCTAAATTCTAGCTTTGATTTTTTTGCATAATCAACTGATAACGTTTCCATCAGTAAAGCAGAAAATCCGCTTCCTGTTCCGCCACCAAACGAATGAAAAATTAAAAATCCTTGAAGACCTTCACAAACTTCTGCCATTCCTAAATAGATGTAGTTATCAGAAGCAAACTGTACTGTGAACTCCTGATAAGCTAAATTCCTTTCAAATTTCATACACTTCCCAATTAAAGCTGTAGATTCGCAGCAACGGTTAGTTCAGACTGTTAGCAGTCACGAAGAAAAGAACAAACTTTCAATTCTGTCGACACAAGAATCAATGATTTCTCGACCGACAGTGTAATGACCACGAGCATAGTTGTTTGCTGCATCTTCTTTACCAGTGATTAGCTGTTCTGGATGGAACAGGCTTCGGTATGCTCCTGTTCTTATTTCGTCTAAAATCTTTGTATAACTTCAGATTGCAATGCATAGTTTCAACAACATCAAAAAATTGACAAAAAAAGAGAATCCATTTATTGTTTAGAATTGCAACCATTATAAGACAAATTTTAGAAGTATTGATTTTGTTTGATGCTTTTTTCACGCTTTTAACAACACCTTACATAACAGAAGTTTTCCTTTTGCAATGGCAAAAAAGCCGCATTAAAAGAACTTCTATGTCAACAGTGATCAAGCAGAAAATAAAATAAGTAAAAATTAATTTTTACTAACCGACAACTGTTGGTTCCAAGTCAACAAAAACAGCTCTAGGTACATGTTTACCTGCAAAAAAACTTGGTTATTCTTTTTTTTTTACTCTCTACACCAGCTTAATAAAACTGAACAGTTATCAGTTTTTGAGTTGTTGCTGTTGGCTGTCCATAGTCTCAAAAAGATTTTTTCATCAAAGCATCGATCTACATGTGTTTTATTTACCGTTGCTCGTTTCAGCAAAAAAAGCGTTAAACGAATTTTCCTGGTCATCCAATGTTGGATCTTCGATCATCACACCATTAGGCTGTATGCCATGTTCCAGACAATACAATTCCCAACATGCATTACCGATTTGAACACCGGCTTGACCGATATGTACCGATATTACTTCACGCTGCAGTATTAGCAAAGATTTAATTGTATAAAAGTTCACTCAGCATAATTAACAGTTAAATTGTGAAAGAACAAAAACCACTACATTTATGGAGAATCAAAAAAGAAAAAAAAGGACAGAACAGTAAGCGAAAGTAAAAATAAAAGAAAAAAACCATGCAACATACCCCGTATTTGCCCATAGCCAACAACAAGCAGTACTAAAATCTGCAAAAGAGGTCCGGGTAGATTTGGTGTATATACCATCAAAAAAGAAAAGAAAAAAGTTGGGCAGAAAATTGGAGAGTCCAAAAAACTTTTCGTTCAATATATGCCGATTTTAATAAGCTGTGGAGACTAGCACCGACTAAACGATAATTATAAGATAAATATAGAAGAAAAAAGTTTTCAGTCTATAATATTATGTATATTTCTTTTTTTTGCAGTCATAAAAAAAAAGAAGGAAAAAGAGGTGTTACTGAAACAAGCAGTTTTTACAAAGAAATTACTATTTGTTTGGCATCGATAATAGATAGGAAGTGAGCAATTTTCTTCCTGTTTACATCTGAACAGAATATATATATATATTTTTTTTTCTTCTTTTAAAAGCCCCCCTGAACACATCCACTGCTAAAACATCAAATATGGGTTTTTTCAAAATTAATCAATCGTATATAAAAAACTTTACTCAAATTGTTGCTTAAAATTTAGCGCAATAACAGCAGTGGCAGTAGCAACCCCCTAAAAAAAAACTTTTGATGTCATCGGCAAGAGTTTATATGATTGTAATTTCTAAGTTTGTTCAGCAGCTAAAATCAACCTTAAATTTTTTTTCGCTTTTTTCTTCTCTTTTTATGGAGAGGAAGAAACAGAGGGAGACAGAGGATAAGGTGTCTGATAAATCTTACTCTACTGCATCAAGAATAACTATTATATCTGCTAAAAACAGTAGCTGAATAATCATTTACCAGTAGTTTAATGACAAATAGATTTCTTTTTTAAGCTGTAATATTAGTAAATAAAAAAATTTTAAAGTTTAATTTCTTTAAAAAGCGACATCAATAATTGCTTTGTATCTGAAAATCAACTGAACTTGATTAACCTGTATTTTGATTAAACTTTTATAGGATATAAATTTTTTTTCTGCATTATCACAAAACATTTTGCTTTTTGCTCATCAATTAGTATATAATTGAGCAGCAAATTTTTTGGTCTATTTCAGGCAACTTTTTTTTGTTAGAGTTATAAATGCAATAAAATTTATACTTAAAATGTTCATCTAAAAAACTTACCTTCTAAAATTTATACATAAAGTTCAATAAATAATTGTAGAAAAAAAAGAATTTCAGAAGCTTTTATCTTCTCTATTTATGACAAAAACAACAGATAGTGGAAAACAAGAAAAAGAAACTTACAGCAAATTACAAACAGAATATTAAAAATTATTGTATAAAATAAGCGGGTAATTCTAATCCCCAATTTTTACTGATAACCCACCAGCAAGTCACCGACAGATAGACACACTTTGCAGTTCAACTCAGTTGTCACATCGATATCCGACGTTTAACGAAAAACAAATTTATACCGGAAACCAAATATTTACGCATCATTTTTATTTGGTCGTTTCTTCATGAAACTCCTACTTTTCTGCAAAAACATATTTAAAACAAAGGAAAAAATAAGTTATAAATATTATGTATTTTAAAAATTACTAAATCTTTACTGACACTTAACCTTTTTTTGAGCACTTCTTTTTGTTTGTAAAAAATTACTTTTAGTAGGCAACAAACAAATAGTTAGAAATAAATCAGTTCTTTTAGCCCAGAAAGATGTCATATCTTCTTTTTTCAACTTTCACTTGTGGCAGGTAAACTGATGCTTAGGAAATAATTAAATTTAAATCTATCAAAACAGAAAAAAAATAACAGAAATACTTAGCTAAAAATCTACTCAAAAACACTTTATTCTTATAATTAACAAACTTTATGATGTCTCTCTTCAAATTCAGTTAGACCAATGATTACGACGATTAACTATGACGATGCTTTAGCTGTCGCTGTTGCTTTTGCAATAGCTGTCGCGATAGTTGCCGGTGCTGTTGTGCTTGCCGCTTTCGATGGCGATATCGCTGTTACTGTTGCAGACGTTGTTGCGGCCGCTTTCGGTGTTGCTGTTGCTACCGTTGCCGCTGTGGCTTTCGCTAGTTGTTGTTACTGTTGCTGTTGCAATCGCGGACGTTGTCGTTGTCGCTACTGCTGTCGCTGTGCCTAACGCAATCGCTAGCGATGTCACAGTTACTGTCGCTGTTTGCTGTTACTACTGTAGTCGCTATCGGTGTCACTGATGATGATGATGTTGAAGATGACAAACGATGCATTGCTGGACACTGCAGTGTTGCAACAGTGCATGGAAGAAGGCAAAAAGAAAACCTTGAAAAGAAAGTGTGTT